GCTCCTAAACCACGGGCTCCACAATGTGCTCCTCAACTATCGGCTCCACGACAGAAGCAGGAGCTTGTACCTCCTCAGTAGGAGCATGTACCTCCACAGTAGGATCCTGCACCTCCGCAGTAGAAGCTTGCACCTCCTCAGTGGATACTATATGACCCCGACGACAAGGTGTATGAAACTGCACATTTTGCTCAGCCATCCGTTTCTGATGAGAACCGGTCAGAGGATGGCATCCAGCCTGTAGCTCTGAAGCATGTGTCTCATTGAAACAATCGGATGAACCGTCAACTGATAATGAAATCAATGAAGTCGCCATTGAACATTTTTTATCCCACTGGAAGGGAAAGGTAAACATCGAGCAAACCTGAGAAGGGTGAAATCAAGGTCAAACGACCAAGAGATACGGGTAAGGGAGTCTTTTATGCGAGGGGAAGGTATTAGCACCCCAAACACCCATAGTACTCTACGATCTCCATTCTTGTTATTCTTATATAATGGGTGTGGTCAAAGTCTATGTCTAAGGTTTGAAGTAAAAAAGAAAGAGGGAATGCATGAAATTGTGGGGAAAAGAAAGAGATTTTTACAAAGATATGCTCGATTAGGCCCCACAAAAAGCCTCCACATATGTATCCCTTTTAAGGAATCAGAGCAGTCGCAGTTCGGCTCACTTGTTCTGGTGGGTTTGTGTTTTTTAGTTGAATAATGTTAAATTCAATCATTCCACCACTGTTCGACCTTTGGAGACTTACGACCTGTAGTGGAAAAGAACTAACATGCTCTTACAAGATAAAAGTCGATTGGCAAAAAATAAAGAAGTTGGTTAGTATTTTTTACCTTAAGAAATGGTTTAAGTTGTTAGAGAGTATTTTTATTAGTTTAAGGAAAATGAAAGTTTTAGTTTTAAATGCAAGGATGCTAAAAGAAAGAAAAATATCTAAGGGAGACTATCCTAAATTTATACCTAATGTTATCATACAATGATTGATCCTAAGATTGAGCTTTGAAAGAGAAATATCTACCCTACGTTAGCATGCACAAATTATTATCCTAAGGTCTAGCTCGAATCGGGAAAGAAGCAAGCACATCCTAAGGGAGCATGGTATATACAAACAAGTGTTTTGGAAAAAGCACACAATCAGGGTGTACTGACTCAGAGGATGTGGGTATAAAGAGAAAATTATTTATCTAAGGGGAGCGGATCACCTGAAGTAAACAAGCGGAAGACTGAGATGAAATAAAAAAATAAAAGCATTACTTTAGCTAAGAGGAGTGGATCACCCGAAGCAAACAAGCGGGTAGAGAAGTGTCAGCAATGGCCATTGTGAACTCCTGACAAATGATGGGGGTTGAGACCAAACCCTTTTCCACATGACCGAATCGATACACATGATCTACAAAAATCCAAAGCGTCGACGTACAACGTGAGCTAAGGACGACACAGACGAAATGCGGGGGTTGATTGTGAACCCTTTCGGCTCGCCTCCTTTTGAGGACTTATTAGGGTGGAGGGAGATACGAGTACAAATGTAAACACACCTGCAGAATACCTACTTCAAAGGTAGGATTTTAAACAAGCACAAGTAGCACACATAATGCACATAATGCGGAATTTCCCTAAACGGGTCTTTAAATAAACCAGAGGGATTCCTGACATGATCAGCAATTGAGATCCCCGTCATACATCTTTATTCCTACTTCTCATGGAAAGGAAAGCAGTAAAATCCCTACTTGACATGATCTCTAGAAAGCAATAAGATGCGGAAAGAACATAGAAGGGAAATATACCAAACGAATAACAATTTGTAAATGTTAAGCAATAGCAAAGAAACATGAAAAACTTTCTTGAACTGCTAGCATCAACAAAGAAAATTCCATCAGCATAAGCGTCAAAGAATCAATGAATCAAGATTGGAATGTGTAGCGGACACATCTGAATATCAAAATACACCTGCATGAAACACGGTCTATACAGTATACAAAATAACAATCATACGGCAGAATATGTATCGGAATATGCACATCCGTGTGATGCCAGGATACCTGCACGAAATACATTCCATACAATATACAAAATAAAAATCACACGACGCAATGTGTAGCGGACACATCTGTGTGATGCCAGGGTACCTGCATAAAAATTAGATTTATGCGAGAATGATATCATTTGCGCATCATATGCAAACTTTCACAAACAAGTGATCGTATAAAGCGCCTTTCAACCAATAATCGTGTGCCAATTAAAGGTTAAAGGCCTAAAAATATACCTTGTAAAGCATTTACAAAAGGAGTTAGAATTAATAAGACAATATGTGCAAACATGCATTAAAAAAAAGCGAAAATTGATATTTCTGTCTGGGTAACCGGTTACCATAACTCAAAAATTTGAGAAAATCGCTACTGTCTTGAGTTAACCGGTTATCGCGTACAATTTTTTTTAAATTTCAGTTGCTGGAAAGGGTGGTAACCGGTTACCATAACTGGGTAACCAGTTACCCGCAGGTAGAAAGTGGTTTTTTTAAAGTTTTTAAGGTTTGACTCATGGCTTGGGCATTTGATCAAACACAAAATCTTCACACATTCAATACATGATTTTGCATAATTCAAGGTCTAGATTCAAGCTTCACATCTTTGATTAAGATCAACAATTAAACCTCATGCAACATCATCAATTTATTTCATCAATTAAGCACTTTCATGAGAATCAACTTAATTCAATAAGCACTTAATTCAACTATCCAATTCCGGATTTACACATGATGATCGAATCAAATCACAATTCTAGTATTAGATTTGAATTTTTAATCCAAAATTCAACCTAGATTCAATTCATGCTTGATTAAAAAAAGTGCTTCTCAAATAATCACTTATTTCAAAAGAGTTTAATTCAAGAAAATTCATCGATAGAAGTGAAGAGGAGGCTTAGGTATAGAGATCGCAATGAACGGATCAACAATCGGAGAAAAATTACTCTTGATCTTGACTTTTGAATCTAGATGAAATTGTTGTTGTGTTCTTGATCAAAAAAGTGTAGAACCTTAATTTGATCCTTTAGAGAATTGAGAGAAAAGATTAGAGTGTTTGTGGGATTTTTGAATTATGAGAGTCTCTCCTTTGATAAAAATCAGATTTGGGATTATATGGTGTGGGCAAATTGGGCCTTGGATATACAATTGGATTGGGCTTTGACTTGAAAGTGTAAGCCTGACACGATCGTAAAGTGTCACGTCATCATCCATACAGAATATTCAAAAAGTTCCAATAAGAAAAATGAAGATAATCAAATTTTTGACGCATTTCCAGAAGAACGGGCTCAATCGAGTAAACAACGAGGAAGTTATGAATTTTTGAAGTTTCACTGATGCTGTTTCCGACAAAAATAATTTCCTGTGCAGAATTTTATTACGTCACGCGCGAAGAAGATAAAAATCGAGAACCTTCGTGTCACTATTTTCTTTTAGAATCTGAAGATAAGTTGTAGTAGACAAAATTTGTGAACCAACGCCACCGAACCCAGCTCAATACGATAACAATCGAGTGAGATATGAATTTTACCGTATCAAACATCAATACAACTGAATTTCGGTTCAGCACAAACATGTATTCAGAAACTCAAAATTCACGGGTCCTTCCTTCGTGAATCAACTTTTAGCCTCCAAAGATGACATCGAAATTGAATTTTGGAAATCAAAACCGCGCGCATACGACATTCTATCCAAGAGTTATGAACTTTTTTAGTGTACACGAAATAACGGTTCAGCCCACTTTCCCTTCATATTTTAACTGTATAACTTCCAAAAGAATGGCGTATTCGGAGACCTTCCTTCGAGATTTAGCTTTTGGTCGAAACACGAAAGTTGAAGAGAACGTCGAGACGGTCTTAAAACATTAAAAGTCAATCCAAAACAATATTCCAAACGGGATATATGAATTTATAAATTCAAATCAGCTGAAAAACTGTTTCCTATTCGCACTGCTTAAAATTCACCGAAAAGACTCAAATCTTCCGCAACTCAACATGCGTTGAACAAATACGGGAGCTTTGTTGTGTTGACAAAAATACCTTGATCTCATGAGCACGAATCCAATGATATGCATATACGCACATGTTGATAAAGTATAAGCCAATTAGAGATAGAAAAATAAAGAGGGGAAATTTTAGGGTACAACACTCGTCAGCACGGGCTTCAGTATCAGCTCTGTCAATGGTTTGTCCCGTAATAGAATCATCTCTGCCTCTGGTCCTCACTGCAAAATAAGAAAATATCATGAAAATATAAAATACTAGAAATATCTAATTTCTGATAATTTTTCAAAAAAAAATGAACTATCGGAAATTTCAAAATTTCTGGTATTATGTGACGCACCAGAAATTTCAAAATTTTCGGTATAAATGATAAAGGAAAATACCAGATATTTCAAAAAATTTGGTACAAAAATACCTAATAGTTTGAAATTTCCGATACAAAGTACTGTAAATTCTCATTTGTTCGCAAAATTTTCAATATCGCCTTCCAAATTTTCGTTATCACCCAAAATTTTTAAAAATTCAGCTATCTAAGTGAATTTAAAATATGTGATAAATGATTTAGATTCGAACAATTTGATCTTTTTATATCCTTTAAAGAGGTGCCATATATGTATAATATGAGGAGCGGCAAGTTAATTTCTCATACTTTTCATATCATATCTTCACATTCAATTTTCAACTCTTATTTGGAATTTCAATTTTGTATGAACATCATGAAACATAGTATAAAGTAATAATCATCTCTAATAAATGTGACAAACTCCATTCTAGCCAACTATACCAAACTATGACACTAATCGAAGAAATTAACATGAAAACCCTTCCACTAAAAAAACCAAAGTAGTTGAACTCCTTCATCATATATTCAAATCTACCATTTCTCTTCTCCAAAATATGATTCAACCATTACACTATATATTAACCATTCCTTACCTTAATTTAATCAAAACATAAACCATTGAATTGTTTTCAAATGGCATTGATATTATTAACATTCCTAATTATAATCTCCCCATTAAATTTAATTAATGGACAGATTAGTTCATCATCATGCACATCCTCTATGATTAGCAGCAGTTTTACTCCTTGTGCTAACATAATTACAGGAAGTACTAATAATGGTTTAGTACCTTCAAGTACTTGTTGTGAATCATTAAGATTTTTGATTAGTACTAATATGGATTGTGCTTGTTTTGTGATGTCTTCCAATTCTCCTTTTTATCAAGTTCTTGCTATGTCTCTTACACAAGCATGTAATATTATTAATGGAGGTTCTGTTCAGTGCAAAGGTGTAAATTCTCCATTGTCAGCTCCAAGTGCTCCAGCTCCCTTAAGCCCTCAAGGTAGTACAAAACTTTGAACAAAGTGCTTAAGCTTTTCTCAAATCTTTGGATTAAAATTTAATCTAAAATGTCTTTGGAACAGATTCAAAAACTTTGGATGTGGATGACAAACACATATATGAGAACCTGCAGTTGGCAGAGGCAGGGGAACTGGCACCATCATCAGCACCGATAGAAGCAGAAGCGCCGTCTAGAACTTCAAGAATTATACCAGTTTTGACTCCTCTTCCTCATTCGGCATCTCCTCTGTCTTATTATTCCTTCTCACCTTCTGCATTATTCATAGGAATGGCAATAGTATTGGTTGGTTAATATGCAGCAGCATTCATATAACTCATACTAAAATTATGCATGCAGCTCATTACTGTGTTCATGTTTTCCGCCTTTTGAGCTCTATATACCGATACACTTTAATAATCGTTAAATACTTATATGGTTTGATCTCGAGTGAATTTTATTAATTTTTCGCTTAAGCATGATCTTTGCATAATATGAAAAAATTTCAACTTGCTTTACATTTTAAGCATCATCTCAATTTTTCAACCCTTGTGAACCAAACAAAAAACGGTTATTTCTCTCCCTTTCCTTCCCTCCTTTTAAGTCTCAACCAAACTTTATTTGAACCAATCAGACTCTCGGTCGCATACTCGAAAGTTGCCACCAAATCCTGCAAAAATCAATAAGCGAGAAACTTAATTCTCTCACAATGATAAAGTAAAACTAGCAATTGTCATTCTTTACTAAGTTGTGGTATGAGTCAATTTCGAATTACATTATCTCATTATAAAGAATTCAGACGCAATTTTCTTTGAATCGCATAGCCTTCTCCCACCCTTAATCAGATTGTGAGCTACATATTCATACTCAATAGGTATTGAAAAGCCATAAACTCTGCAGCGCCGACAAAGAAACATGAACAAGTTTTAGCACTTTAGCAAAGGAAAATTATAGAGGGGCCGAGAAAGGAAAGTAGACCAACAGAGAACCTTCTTAGGGTCGTCGAGGGTATCAGAAATGTCTTGATCACCATTGCGGCTAGCATTCCTCATAGCATTGCCTACCTGCAAGAGTTCAAATTACAAATAATTAATAACAAAGTAGGGTTTGAATTTTTCATAAGCCAGACGCAAATCAAAAAAGAAAATATCCATGGTTTTTTTGTTTACCGAGGAGGATTACCATGCATAACAACGCAGTTTGATGTTTCAATTGAAGTTCCCTCGATCAGTCAAGTTGAACTCGGAGAAAGATAATTACATTTACATTTGTGTATTCATCAATAGAGATGGAAATCAGTGTAGCCATAACCGTGTGAATGTGAATGCGGCAATAACTCTTCTACTTCAATTCTGGAATTCGAACAAGTAGAGCCTTTCTTTACTTGGTTACTGTTAATCGACTCCACTTTTGTCAAGAATATGCTACAAACTGGCCTATGATCAGAGAATCTTGACTCGCCACGAACATAGGATAACTGTTGTGAGCCACTTCCATACCACAAGATACGATCACACCTTCACGAATAGATAATTTTATTTGGTTATATCTATATAAATAACGACATTTTTCACTTCGTCGAGAAAGAAGAGTACCATGCTGGAGTTCTTCTCTTTTGTTTCGAACGTCTGTCATCCCCTGCATAACTGTCGGAATTGTTTGAATACTTATATGTTGGAGGAAAATATATTTTCCCTTCACTCCATCCTGTAAAGACTCGACCTTGTCGCTTCTCTATACACAGCTGAAAGAAAAAGCTATCGCATTGTCAGGTAAATCTTAAAAGTAACCGATATGGGAATGAAGCATCGTAGTTATTTGGTGGGACGAACTAACATGCCTGGTCATTCTTCAACAAAGTCTTCCAATCATGCATCTCAACAAGAGCTTTTGCTCCTCGGTACGAAAGAGCTATCCGATAATTTAAATCCCCCAGCCATATTATTCGGCTACACCAAATAAACCAATGCAAGTTTAGCTCTTGAAAATTAGGACTTAGTTGCAAATACATTAGGAGTATAGATGGATGAGGGACAAACTCGTGTTCAAGAATTGTCTGAGGAGAATTCACATCGTTCGTGACATGGACTTGTGGAAACCTTGTCTTTCTGAGAATCTCCATTACATCTGAATTTCTTCTTAGCTCGTCACCATCTCTTTGACCGGAAGTCAGATGACTACAGACGAAGCAAAAACTTGTTTCGCGCAATGACATACTAATTGATATTGAACCCTGGAAAAATCCAAGAAAATGAGATAGTCTTTTCTCTAGTACATTATAAGAACTCTGGTATTAAAAATAAATTAGCAAATGTACCTTGTTTCCGAGATATCCCATCAATCCTCTTCCAATGCACGACACTTTCATGTTATGAACATCATCTCTGATATCACTTTTCACCCAAACGGTTAGAAATACGCCTACCATTTGCTTACTAGCAACCAAACAGTATCTTGAGTTTCCTATCGGTCTGTCACTCTCCTCCATAGGTAAACAACCTCCATTTGACATTGGCGAATAATCTGTTGTAATCGGTGAGTCGCCACCTCCATTTTCGTCATCTGAGGATCCCCATCGACAATTGGTGTCATAGTCACTTGTTCTGTGACCGGATATCATTCTATCACAGACACTGAGACGTCGATCAAGGCATGATTGTGGAAGCGACATGTCATTATCCATTCTCATACTACGACTCATGGCCTGGAAGGATCTCCGATGGAAAAAAGAGGTTGCCTTTTGTCTCATCGATCCTTCAAAATCAGCATCTTGCTCTACAATAGGAGCGGGAATAGGAGATGGAGTATGGTATCCACCACTTGTTCCTGGAAGGTTGTTCAGTGTCTTCCTTATAAGGGCTAGCCATTTTTTTGCAGGACCATTGTCTTCTGTTCCCAAAACATTGCCGGCATTGAGAGGCACAATTTCTTGAAACCTGAGTCCAAGGAAATGCAAGAATATAACACATTCCGAACCTTTTCCCAATTAAAGATTATAACGATACAAGACATTATATAATCCTTAAATTACCCAAGAACATAGATATCAGCAGGCGGAGAAATGTGAAGCCAATCTTCAAGACTTAAATAACTCGGAGGCGACTTCCCTGCCACATTCCAAGTAGCAACAAAGATTCTGTATTCGAAAGTGGGAAAAAGTTAAACCAATTGAACAAAATTCTTAAATTTCATTATAATCGCAACAAACCTGGTATTTTAAGTAATCGAAGCATACCTATAATTACATACATCTGTAACCTGAGCTTCATCAAGGTAATTCTTACCTCTTGGCATTCTATCTATGTACCTTCTACTTGATCTCTCTATCCATTGAAATGATGATTAAACATACAAAATTAGCAGCAGAACAAAGAACAATAGATTTCGGAAATTTTCGCGCATATTAAGGTAGTGATAGTGATAGTGAACCTGATTTGCTTTTCTTGATAGAACATGCTTCCATTTCTGAGTAGTTGCTCATATACTCTACATCAACAACTTAAAAGGGAAAAACCATATAAAGTTAATAAATTGTGATATTTGCATCCTATTCAATCAAACAGAACAAAATAAACAAAATTAGTATAGCACAAAAAGGGTTGAAAATTGAAATGAAACTATATAAGAAAACAACAAAGGGTAGATCTTGTCTTACAAGTAGAATACCCTTAATTGAAACAAACAAAAAGTTGTTAAATTTTCAACCAAGATTTCAATTCCAAAAATCCCAAATTACATTAAATTCATGAGATTAAAAAAAAAGTGATTAATTAATCACCTTGAGAAATGATATCATCTGCTTGAAAGTCCTCAGATTTGCTCTTGATATTGAACCATTTTTTGACCAATGTTTTAGGCCATGAAAGCTTCACCAACAAATAAAAAAGCTATAAGCAACTCCAATAATCACTTAATACAAAAAAAAAAATTGATAAATGAAAGTGAAATAAAATAGGCATTTCCCAAAAAAAAAAAAAAAAACCTTGCTTTTCTTCAAATTCTCATCTCTCATTGTTGAGACAAGTTAATATATCAAAATATCATTCCTGCTTCAACAAAATAAGAAAATATCTTAAATGGTTAACAATGTTTGAGACTTTAAGGAAGACAATGCAGAAGAAAACATGAGAGAGAGAGAGAGAGAGAGAGAGAGAGAGAGAGAAAAGGAACCTTGTTGTGAGTAATAAAGAAGGGTCGTACAGAGTAAAGCAGGGAATTTGAAGGGGAATAAAGTGCAGGCAGGAGAGGTAAGTTGGTTCAGTAAGAAGGGGTTTCCTTTATCTGCAAATTCAAAGACTTAGTTAAGAAAACCCAACATTGGTAATGGTAACCCACTCACATAACCCAACAGAAAATTGTCTTTAATCTTTATGCACTCAAAAGAAACTACAGTAGATTTATTTGTATTATAATTAACTTTCAAATAAAACTGAGAAATTTTTGTGTTGCCATAAATCCACGCTATATTTTTATGAATAATAAATATAGTATATTAATATATAAATTTAAGTAATTTCAATTCGTCTAAAACATATATTTAAATAGAAAAAATAATTAAATAGTTATCTACTATACGTATGTATGAGTCGCACATTATAATTATAAATAGTAAATAAATATATTATAGTGATATTTAAGAAAAATACATAAAAAATATTTAAATTAAATAGTTTTGATATGTCAAAAATATATATTTTTAATAGAAAAATAAATAAAATAATTAAGTAGTCTATGTGTGCATTTGCACGGGTCACACAATAACGTCATAAATAATAAATAAATATAGTATATTGATAATTAGGAAATGCATATAAAAGAAAAACAAATTAAATAGTTTTGTCCCATCGAAAATGTATATTTTAATAAGAAAAATAAATAAAATAATTAAGAGTCATCTACCCAAACGCACATGTTATGCAATATCGTTATAAATAATATATATATATATATATATATATATATATATATATATATATATATATATATATTAAATAGTCTCGGTCCGTCGAAAATATATATTTCAGCATAAAAAATTAAAAAAGTAATTCAATAATCATCTACATGTGCGTTCACACGGGTCGCACAATACTGTTATAAATAATAAATTAATATAATATAGTGATGGTATATATATATATATATATATATATATATATATATATATATATATATATATATATATATATATATATATATATTAAATAGTCTCGGTCCGTCGAAAATATATATTTCAGCATAAAAAATTAAAAAAATAATTCAATAATCATCTACATGTGCGTTCACACGGGTCGCACAATATTGTTATAAATAATAAA